TGAAACAACCTCTGGGCTGATCTAAGTCAGGGTATGGATAACTCACAGATTGAACCCTGAAACAACCTCTGGGCTGATCTAAGTTAGTGCACAGCTAACCCACGGACCAAATCAGGATCAGAATTTAGCATATTGGGGTTTGCAGAGGTAGGAAAACTAGAGAACCCAGAGAAAAACTCTTGAATCAATGTAGAAACCTAACAAACTCTGCTCCCATAATTAAATAAAACGTAGTTGTCATAACTCGTTACTATATGATATTTATAATATATCTTGTTGTTTCAGGTTTTGAATGTCGATGTGGAAATGTATTTTGTGGGTTACATAGATATTCAGACAAGCATGGATGTACATTTGACTACAAAGCAGAAGGACGAGCTAAGATCACCAAGGATAACCCTGTAATCCTGGCTGAAAAAATACAGAAGATTTGATCAGAGGACAAGTAATTGAATAGAGTTTAGATGAAAACAACTGCAATACAAAGTTTGTTAATGTTTCATATCATTGACAAGGAACTGTAGATGGGAGTCCTCATGGATCACTTCTTTTTTGAAGGAAAAAGACTCCTTGCAAACACTACTAGAAATAATGGTGATGGCTTCAAATCAGAAGCTAAAAATCTGCAAATCCTTCTTACTTGCTTGTTGTTTTTTCCTTCTTCCTTGTCTGGGGGATTTTATGAAGTCTTCTCAAATTCTCAACTACAATGGAAACCTAAAAAAAACGGAATTTCTTCCTTCTTTGTCAGCTGAGATAATCATTGCAGTCTTCTCAAATTCTCAGCTTCAATGGAAACCTGAAAAACTGGTTTTGATAACTGGTTTTACCTGTTTATACTACAGTTATTGATTAACTGGGGTAAGGGATACACAAAACAACGTCTGTCATTATATATTGAATAAATATTGGTAATAAAGTAATAAATTATTTAAGAATAAGGCACTTTTTACTAGGATTCTTGTTCTGTTTTCTATATTTTTCAAATCTAATATTAATATTTTTAATTTTGAGTTGGGTAGGGTAAATAGTTTATGAGTTCAAGAGCATGGTAGTCTGTCTAAAAAGTGCCTTGTTTAAATGTTTCAAACATAGGTAAGACATATTTGATAAAAAATATAAATAGATAGCTGATTTCTGGGTAATTTGACTTGTTAGGTGCAATCATGGGTCTTTCTTGTGCTGCAACCATGCTGACTAGAATAATAGATTTTCACATTCAAGTGCTTGAGAATAAATTTATGTGGGCTAAACAGGTTCATTTTCATGATAATAAACATGGCTGCGGCATGAGTAAAGCCCTTTGGTTTACTGTTTTTATACTATTATTGACTCACCATATGGGGGGAGGGGTACAACTGGATGACTCACTAGGGGTGGGGTTGGGATGCACACTTACAGGGGAGGGGTGAGCAAACTGCTCTGTAAAGTTAAATTTTTGAAGCTGAACTATAATTAATGATTATTGCAGTTAAATGCATATCCTTGTACATAGCAATATTATATAGCTCTTATTAACCACGTTTAAGGTCTGTGCCATAAGTTATGGACCAAGTTTTTCCAAATACCTTATGACCCAAGCATGTAGCGCATGGGCCATGAAAGAGTTGGGGAAATGAGTTCTATAACTAACCTACGGACGGAGCAAATTAGGTTAATTAGGTGTTTATTATGTGGCAAGGCAAACACAAGAAAAGGACTTTGTGTTTCATACTGTAAGTTATGGACTGTGAATTGGCCAATGAAAGTGCTCCAAATTACCTTGCCATATAATAAGCAAGCTAATTGACCCTTCTCAAAAATATCCTGAATGCGAAGCTAACGTTAAAAAAACAAAAGAATTCACACTTTTCTTGATGGAATTTGTGGCATTTCTTTTGTTTTTTCATGTAAGCCTCAAGATAATTTTGAGAAGTCCTTATCGCTGCCAAGTTCGTAGTAATTAAAATAGCGTAGATCTTTTAGACCTTTTCTGAGATAGAGAACATGGTGCATTGTGGTCAAGCTTGGGTACAAACATCTTTTGTCCATCATGCCTTATATGGTGTTGTTTGTACCAAAGCTAGACCCCAATGCATCCTGTTTATTGAACTCGGAAATGGTCTATTGCACAGTGCAATACTGTAGACTCTGTGTGACTGTGTGACTCTGAAACAATCACAGCATGGCAATGTTTGTTGATCTTCATACAAAATCTGATTTACTCTATTAAAACAGAAATGACTACAAGTCATTTGGCCATTCTGTAGTTAGGAAAGAAACGATGTGTTCTAGAAGGTTCTATTCCCAAGACAGAATCTATTTAGTCCCCTAAACCTTGCAATGGATTATATGTTAAAGTGCTTTTCCAGCTGGTTTTCTAGCATGTTACTATACTACACTATGCCCAGTAAATGACAATTAATAAGACAGAGTCATCTTGATCTCACCTGTGCAAAGTCTGATTACCGTCACACTAATAGTCATAGTCATGATAAATATTTGCTGTTCGCTCATGTGAAAATGCTTTTGTGTTTCTATGTGAACACGAGGCTAGTCAGTCACTAGTCAGTGTAGAACAATAGTTATTCAAATTGGTCACCATATTAGATTAGCCGTGTGACGAGATTTCATAAGGTGTAATCCAAGAGTTAAGAACTTCAAACTTATAATGCTGCCTTTATTGTTTTCTGTATTATAATTCCAAATTTCCAGTCAATATTATTAGAGCTTATTATCCATAATTAATAGATAGTTAATATTATCCTAATTGTTTATCAGATGTATGCTAAGTGCATGTGCTTGATTCAGTTTGGTTGGGTGAACTACTTGCTATGAATAAATACCATCAAAATGTTGCGTTTACTTTAATATTACATTAAAACATTTTTACAAACTTTTCAAGGTATATTTATATTGTTATTGTAGTCGTATCGTTATTATTTTAGTTAAAGTGAAGTCATTAAACCCGTGAAATAGATATTAGACTAATACACTTTAGTAGACCCTAATTCCATTGTTTTCTTTTGTGTCTATTTGACTATTACACGTTGACTAGTATTTTTTATTTCACGGGTTAAAAGTCTTCACTCTATATTATGTCGTTATAGAGTGATTTTACTTGGACCACGGAAGTACCGTAGACCCTAATTCCATTGTATTCTTTTGTTGTCATTTCACTCTTACACACTAACTAATGGTATCTGTTTCACGGGTTTATGAAAATCAGTCTATTACAAAAGAAATATATCGGAATAAGTTACTACTGCTGTGTATTACGTTAACCGCTGTATTCTTTCACAGGTCAAGTAAAATCACTCTAGGTCTGTTCTTTCGGACATACTAGATTCCTAATCATCATCATCGCTATCACCATCATCGTCACTATCACCGCCATCACTAACACCATCATCATCACTAACACCATCATCATCACTAACACCATCATCATCACTAACACCATCATCATCATTAACACCATCATCATCACTAACACCATCATCATCACTAACACCATCATCATCACTAACACCATCATCATCACTAACACCATCATCATCACTAACACCATCATCATCACCATCATCACCGTCATCATCATCACTAACACCATCATCATCATCACAACTTCATAGCATCACCATCATGCACGTGAAAAACAGTTTTTCTTTCTTCCTTTCTTCATAGAACCGAATTTCACAACTTAAAATTTTGTCTCCCAATTTGTTTGTATTTCTCTCTATTTTTGTTTTTTTTTTTTTTT